CTGAATTTCAAATATCTTAACATTTGATCCCAATAAACTGAGTAAATGTGCAACACGGACCACCCTGTCAGATCATTCTCAAGGCCTTTGCAGGTATTTCTCTTTCCAATTTCATATGAACTGTGCTGATTCCAAATGCTTCCCCAAGATCACATGGTCATTGGGGCACAACTAAAATTTACATTTAGACCAGACATGCTTTATTCGATAAGCCAAGAAGAGGGAAAAAGGAACCTCTCTCTTCCTGAGTCATAGTAATGCCGGCTGTAAACAAAATTAGGATCCAAGTTCCACAGCTGAGGAAATTCCTACCCTGGTCCTGAACCAAGTTAGGGACCACAAGTAGAACCACCCTGTTTGACTTTAACTATGCAGAACATGGTGTACATCTGTTTGGATACTGATGGCAATGTGGATTGGTATTTGAAGTCTGATCTATCCAAGCTGACCCTGACCTCCAGATTCAAACACTCCTGAACTTTGAGACAATTGAAATCTGAGTCCAGATTTTATAGCTCAGTTCCATCTCTTCTGACAGCCATGTGTCAGGGTCACTGAAGTCAGTTTGGGCTTGTTCCCAAAAGCCTCCCATGGAGGCAGTAGAAGGCCTTGAAAAGCTGGTTATGATTCTGTACCACGGCCCAGAATTCTGTCTCCTGCAGAATGACTGAAAAATTGCTACTGTGTTCTTAATACAGTAGTGCTGTACAAATCTAATTTGCATACATGAAGTCTTCCCACCAAAGAGTAGGAACACCTCATGGTATGGAGGCTTGAGATTACTAACAATTCATTTTTTTTTAGAAAACATGCTATGGTACTTGATTAATAGATGAAGTGTCACACAGAGAGCATTAAAATTAAGCTACCATTGACAAAAGAGAAGAACAAAATACCCTTTTTTCTTTTGTACTTGTTTGCTTCTTGTAAACTCTGCTTGACAAAATTTAATGATTTGCAATGAGTCCCCTAGTCATTAGTAAGAATTAGCCAGGTTCTGTTCTATTTAAATATGCATTTGGATTAAGACAGATTAGGCATGGTAGATGCAAATTTTAATGATAAGATCTCTACCAGAAGTCCAGCATATGCATAGCTGTAAACATAGCTCTCTGTTGGCATGGCTTTGTAAACAGCTCAGATGGATCATTCAATAACAACGGGCTTTGTACATCTCCTCAAATGTTGTTCACTCTTGCTGTTGGGTGCAATTAAGCAAAGTACTTAAGGACCTGGTTGATCAAGGTCCTCGTTCTAAGAGGAGGACAATGATATGTTTGGAGAAAGTCTAAATAAAGCTGCAAGGATGATCTTTTTTGTAGCAAGTCTGTTTTCTGTGCCAGGACTGTATTTCCTCCTATTTTTAAAAACAGGCATTGTCACAGTCAAGTGCCAACAAGTGGAATTCCTGCAGAGCAGGTAAGATCAAAGGCACTTCTGACTGCCGAGAGAACTTGCTATGTTGCTTGTTAGTATAGGAGAAAGCCACACAGGTTACTGATGGCACCAAAAGGCTGCATGATCTACAGGGATACCCTGTACAGGTAACTATGTAGCAGGAGACTGCATCAAGAAACAATACAAAACACTCATTATGATGCCAGCTTAGTGGAAGACACTGGATTTGAGTGTGCACCTTGGAAAGGGCATGCACAGTGGGTCTAAATATTTTTTCTTCCTGCACTCCCTTCCTCAAACATCTGTGCATAATCGAGAGAAAAAATACCCTTACACAAGAGATCTTGTTCTGGGAGTTCTCTGAAAGTGAAAGCAGGGAAGTTTCGGTCTCTGGAGCTATCATGCATATTTTGTGGAAATCATAGAAACAGAACTAAAAATAATGTTTTGTATTCAGAAGAGTCCTTTTCACCTTTCTCTAAACACTGAAGTTGCCAGGTGGATTTCATGATGGTTTGGAATTAACATCCTACGTTATGTTTAACTGGATTTTGAAAATCCTTTTGTGAGTGATCCTGACTCCCTATAACTTGAGTAAGGGCCACATGCCAGTACGTGGGTCATAGCTTTTTACATCTTCAGTCCTTTATAAATATGAAGTGAGCTCAAAAGCACACCTGTGAACTTAGCTGCATTATCCATAGTTTGTGAGGCTTGGAAACTGAGTACAGAGTAACCTGTTATTTGCCAGCAGGAGAATTATCTTTAGCAGTGAGATTAGAACTCAGGGTCCCTGCTTCCTACTCTTTTGCTAAATGCCACCAGCTCATATCTTCCTTTTTGAAAAAAAGTCATCAATTAGATTGAGATGAAAAGTAAGAATCAGTCACGCAGCCATTACTAAAGACAGACTTTTTTTTTAATTTTAAAATTCTGCATCTGAAAACACAGTAGGACAGAAAGCATGTATATACAACCGCAGCGTTTTTGGTATAATACAGTATTCAATACATCCATTTCTTGTTCTGCAAAAAAATTTGCTTTTTCAGACAAAAACCCAAACTCCCATAGATAAGGAATACAGCTAAGGCACATTGTTTTTCTGCTAAATGAAAGACAAAAAGGGTGCAAAAATGGGTAGTGCAATAATTGCTGAAAATCACATTCTACTACAAGAAAAGCATTCTGACTTTTGAACTGTGATTACCAGTCAATTTAAGACATTTTAATACCTCATAAAATACTCCTTTAAATAAATAGCAAAATATCTACATCTTTCAGTGTGTGCCATTTGAATTCCCAATTTTTTTAAACTTTACTGTATATACATGTTTTTTTTCCTTAATCAATAGCTTACAAAATATTTCTGTACAGTTTTATGCATATTATGATCTATAACAAAATAGTTATTTCTTAAAACTATATTACTGCCAGTCTCTGAAAATGAGGGAACAGGAATAACTTATTATGGAGTGGGTTAACCAATACAAAAATCCAATCAACTCAACACAAACATAAAAACAAAGTTAGAGAGATAATTTCATTAACTCAAATTAAACTATTTTTGTGTCACAAACCATTTTTTCTATGTTTTCAGTTGTCTTTGGGTTGTATCAGCCTCAGGACAGAGAAACAAGATAGAACATAGGTTCCTCAAAAGCACTGCCAGCCTGCCGGGAATATTGGCTCTATTGAATTGCTATAGTTCCCATTGCCAAAGATGCAAGAAGAGCAAAGAAAAATGCGCATAGCACAGATCAGAAGTCCACTGAAGACAGTTTTTATGCACTTCAAGTGGGCTTTGGATCAAGCTCTAAGGGGCAGGTTTTTAAAGGCATTTAAGCTCCTAATAACCTGGTGCTTAAATACCTTTTAAAATCTGGCCTGAATCTCAAAAGTTCTTATTTAACTTCTAGTGAAGTACAGAAAGAGTATTCTCATCTCTGCTACAGCAATGTAAATCTGGGAGGAACTCCACTGAAGTCCCATTGGAATAAGAGGAATGACTCCAGACTGGCATAACCAAGGCCAGAATCTATCCTGAAATACTTTGCAGACAAACAGAAAATCATGACATAGGGAAGTCATACCTGTAAGTAATTAAGTCAACTGTCTTCACCAGAAGTAAGTTGCAGAAGAGAACTCTCATTACTTGCTCAGCTTAGAAGAGAGCTCAAGCCTTCCTTTTCCCCAAAGGCAAGGTCATTTTTTCCCCTTAAAGACTGCATTTGTAAGCAATTTCAATTATACTTGTGAAGCATAAGCTGACAGGTACACAGCTCAGAGTTGTAACAGAAATTTCAAGGTGCCTTTTATTCCACTTACAGCAAACAGAGAGAGAGAGACGCACGCACACGTAGCATCTAACTTTCTAATACTGTTTAAGGCCACACTGAAAGAAAGGATGAAAGTAAGGCTTTTTTATGGGGTAACACACTGGAAAAATCTGAAACAATACCTTTTTTGATTGCTAGGCCTGTGTCTTCTTCTTAAAACAAACATGACAAATAGAGTAAAACGCAGTAGCCATCTTCCTCCAGAACATTCCCAGCAAACTGAAGGTGCTCCTTGAACACGAGAGATTACTATCTGCTCATTCAAGAGTATTAATTACAACAGAACCAAAGACAAGTCAGTCATTACAATATACAACTGCAGCGCGATGAACCGCGCCTAAAAATGTTACTCTGTTATCAGAGGCACCTGTACAGGATCTTGCTGTTTATTCGGCAAGGTAACAAGTAATACTTGTGAGTTTTAACAAAACAGAGAGAATTTGCATAGACTGTACATTCAGCTCAAGGAGATTTCTGGTACCTTTGTTGTTGTTGTTGTTGGCAGGTAAACGTGTTTGCAGATAAAGTGAGGTAGCAGCTGTGGTAGCACCCATGGGCAAAAGAAGGTAACTGAGGCAGAAGCAAACAGCAAAGAGTGATCCATACACTACTATTAGCATAAAAGAACAAAAGAAAGGGGGCACCCTGCAGAATTAGAGAATCATAATTCATCACTAGAAAAAAACCCACCATAGGTAACTGAAAACAGCCTAAATGCTACCCTGGCCCTTGGGTCAGATAACATGCAATATCACTGCTTTTTACCTTCGCCCCAATAGCTTTGGGCCTGATGACCCCCTCATTTGCTCCAGTTCTGAAACAGGAGTCTGCTGACATCAAGGGAGCTGAACCAGCAGAAAACGACGTGAGAGGGAACTCAGGCCTATTGTGCGGAATGTCTACAACAGGGTGTAATTGTGCAATTAACCATTCAAGACTCCCTAATCACATAGCCTTTGTACTCTGCACCTTCTAAGAGACTGTTATGCAACCTAATTATTATTTACTCTGAATATGCTACAGTGAAGAGATGTTTGTGACTGCTCTACTATACAAAGAAAACGGGCCATGTTTTAACAAAACTTGCAAGAGTGATCTAAAGGGGAGAACACCCTTTGCAGAGTTTCTCCTACATTGTTCTCTCCATCCACTGTGATGGCCCACAAGCCTTCCTCCCAGTGTGGAAATAACACATTGCCCCCCCACCCCATCACTGCAGTGTAGCTCCTTTGTGGCTAGAAGCAGGCATGAGACCTACTCTCCCCCACCATGGAGGGATCATTGTGTAGCATGACTGAGATAGAAGTATTCTTTCCAATGTTGGCTTTCCAGTGCCAAATAAGAATAAGGAGCCGCTGCAAACAATTTTCGGATAGGTTGCCTTTTTTTTGATAAACTACACTAATCTATTACTGAACATGCTGAACACCCATATATCTGAGCATGGGAAAAGATAGTCCAATTGCCAGCACCTTCCGAAGGTCCTTTTTTATATACTTTAGCACTGAGCAGACTTTCAAAAGCAACCCTTCTCCCGTACAGCCAAGTTTTTCAAAGAGCGTTATGGACTCTGGTCTTATAAGATGGGCACATTACTTCCTTGCTCAACAGAAAACAGGGGCATTAGGCCACTGCTTAGTTTGATCAATTATTTGCAGTTTGGGCATCCTGGGAAAGACAGAATTTACTCACGCTGTTGCTTCTAAGCAGAGGGAATTAGGGAGCATTAGGGAAGTCAGGGAGCCAAGCTGGCAGTTCTCTATTCCCCCTCTAAATGACAGAGCGTGATTTAGCTTTGGTGCCTCTGAAATCAACAGGAAGTTAGTCAATACTTTCCAAACAGAATAAAAAGCTGGGAGGTCAAAACTGAGATTTGACAACCCCAGGGTCCTGAGACTGGGTGTGTGAGAAAATGAAGCTACCATCCCCTTTGCTGCAATAAAGAAATACAGTTTTGTCTCAAGCTTAGGCTAAGGACTCAGGCTTTCTTTTATCCTTTATTACCTCCTTACACCAGCTTTGGATTTTCTCAGTTCTTTGTCTGACTCAGTGTCCTGCTTCCTATAATAATGAATAAGAGGGATTTTGACTTTTTTGGTACCAACCACAAGATTTATGAGAGATGGATGGAAGTTGAATACTCATAAGCTTATCCTTTTGAAGGTGCTGCAAGTTCACCATTAATATGCCATTAAGGAGTCGCATTTGCCAGACATTCTGCATTAAAGCCTGTATCTAGGAAAGTCGATCTGTAACATACTAATTGGCACTCCTATATTTTTAGGTTTAGCAACAGCGATACAGATGTATAGTTCTTGTTGAACTACTTGCCACTATGAAAGAACTGTTAATATACTCCATCCCCTTTGCCCTTCACAGCACAACTATGAAGACACAATTTTAATTCTAAAAAACTTCAAATATCAGAAACCTAAAATATAAATATCTTTACTCCATGTCCAGTCAGACTACATAGAGAAAGATTTTGTTCACATCTACAAAATAAACTGTCATTTCAGCTAATTTCTATTAGCTACAGGGCTTAATATTACCATATAAACAGGTTTGCATATCACTGACTTTGGATTTAATTCCTTTAAAAAAAATGTATGCAGACACCCTATGTTCTGCCACATTTCTTTTCTGCCTGAATAAGGCCAGTTGATTTTAGAAGTTTCACATGACTATCTAGCAGCATGGGCATGGAGTTTAAATGAGTACAGCATTACACATAGAGGGCAAATATGTGCAAATGGAAATATACTCTTTTCCCATAGAAGGCATTTGGTCACAGCTGGCTTTCAAATGCAGTCTTGTTCATAAAATATCACTAGCCAGCATGTTCTGAAAATAATACTAGTATGCTCAAATGGAAACATGTATGACTTGTTTATTTCATATAAACTCTGGGCCCCTGCTTTGAATTCTCCTTTTCACCAGATGCAAGGTCTGTGGAGTTATTCTTTTCTAAAAAGACAGAGGTTCATCGTAGACATTAAGTACCTGCTATTTTCAAGCTGGACAAGCCACTAAGCATGGTGCTACCTTAGCAATAGTTTTGGGGCAAGTTCTGATCCCTAATGGAGACAGTCTTGCTTTCCATAATGTAATGTCATAACTACAAGACATAACGATTAAGACATATTCTCCAATATATGTTATGTATCTTCCTATTAATAGCTATGGTAGGAAATGGTCCACTGGATCCAAACTTGATGCCCATCTCCAAGGATGCTGAAAAGTTCATTCTCTGATACCTTTAAACGTATGCTGCTTTTTACTTATGCTGGGTTTCATACTGAAGTCCTTACTCAGAATCATACAAGTTTTTCCTGAGAAAGGACTGCAGGATTTGACCTAGTCATGTTACCATTTAATATTTTAATAGCAGCACTGGTGTTACTAGCTGGCTATAGTATTTATATTTATAGGCTCTTTTTGCCATTTAGAAAATAAAATAGTATAAAATATTTCTTTTGAGTTGTTTACAACATAGCATAGAATCTATATAGATAAAGCACAGAAATGTAGATAGGTATATCTGCAATAGTTTGATTTTTTAACTGCAAAACAGGAACTAAAACTAAGTCATTTGAACCTTACATTTTAAATGATAAAAATGGTGGCTACCATTCTAACTGTGAGAGAAAGACTGGACCGTTGCCAACTTTGGCCTGACAAATTTAATAGTGAACTTCCCAACAAAACACTTAAAAACGTTCTTTCCTAATATTTAAAAAGGTATCAAATTTATAAACCAGGTTATTTGTGTGTGTGCATGCACATGTACACACACGCACACCCCCCCCCCCCACATGACAGACTGGATTTAATGAATTCAATAGCAGATTTAACTGGAATGATCCAAAGACTAGGAAAATGAATGAAATCTTTTTAGTTATAGCCTAATACATGAGCAAATATGATATTTTTTCATTCAGTCTATAGGGCGTTAACCACACTAGCCCTATTTGGTCAGTGTAGCTAAGCCCCCAGAGCTCACAGCACGTCTGACCTTCACGATGATCGATAAAAACGAGTATTAGAAAAAATACTGAATGAGAAATAACATTGTGTTTCTATGATATAAACCTGTTGGCAACACTGGTTTAAAAACAAACTCACCACTACAGCCAGCTGAAAAGCGGGGACATTGCTTTGACAGAAACTTTCCAACCAGCTATAATGGCTACAAGCTTTCCTAAAACTACAGCTTCATGACTGTCAAAATCAGGAAGGAAGAAAGAGAGATGAGAGGCATGGGGGGGAAGGCCTTTTCTTAATAAAGGCAGCTTTAGTTAGTAAGATAAAATAATCTTCAAGCTGCAAAAGCAGCACCTACTAATTAGTCATTGACTAAAACATAAATAATAAATACCTAAAACGTTCCTTCTATGCATCCATCCTCGTGCCAGATAAACATGTAAATGTTCCGCCTTAAAGCCAGCACAGCTGACACTGCAATTTCAAGTCCAAAGCAAACTGCAGTAGCTTTAAACCAATACTACTATGAGAAATATAACAAGCTACTGGGAAGTCTGTTTTATGGTCGTTTTGCCATCCTTACTTAAAAGGGAGTTCAACCTTTTTTGTGATATGTGGTTATGAAAAGATTTGAGGGTCTATTTCCCCAGTGTGGGAGCTTAACTCTCATTAGCAGTAATGAAAGTTATATGTGCACACAGAAGGGTAAACAGACACCTTCCTTTATTACATTAATAGGGCAATTTATAATTAAAAGGCTCCTTGAAGTTTCTCGGTATGGTGCACTCCAAAGACTACAAAAAAGTGCGTGTTTTATGTAAAGTTTGTCAGAGTGAATTTGCATATAAAATATTTTTTAAAGTCCTTAGAAATTAAATGGGTATTCCCCCCCACCCCCCACTGTTGAAAACTCAGGTTCAAACGATGTATCACATCCATGTTTAAAACACCTGGAGCCTGCTGGAAATTAAATAATGGAACACAAACAAGGCTAATGCTTATCAGTAATATAAAAGTAAAACTCTGAGGCACAGCATTGCTCTCCACGTTCAATTCAGGGCTTCAGCAGAGAATCTCCATGTCTCATTCACCACAACCTTCCAGATGGACTCTGCAATCTTAGAACTATCCTCCATGAACCCTGGCAGGTCTGGAACCAAGGGAGGCAATTAGTGTTAGACTCGTTAGGCACTACTTAAATTAGATCAGAATCAGCTTGCCACATAGTTAGGCTCCAATCCTTCTTCCACTAAAATCAATGGAAAAGTTTCCAAACCTAAATTATTAAAGGCCAGATTCTGCCTTGTTTACAGACTGAATAGCTCTGCTGAACACAGCAAGGTCTAGTAATAGAAAAAAAAAATGGTGCCACTCAGTGTGAGTAGGGGTATTACAGTCTGAACCCTAATTTCTCACAGACCACCCTCTTGCACAAACCACCTGATATTCATGGAATTTGCATATGTGAATGACTTTGAATGTAGGCTTTTTAAAATGCAAACTTCTGAAGTGGCAGAAACCCATGCTTGGGTATGGGAATATTTGTTATAAATAATGCAAGTGGTGCCCAGATATTGTGAAGTCTGATCACATTACGAATAAAAGGTGAAAGATGTGTGTGTGGGGAAAAAACCCACCATGTTTTACCAGAAGCAGCAGCCCATTAGTTTGACTTGGCTCTGCAGCGTCTGTATAGATTGGGTACTTCAGCGGGGCTTTTTGGCACTTTTAGCTCAAGCTAATTCAATTAGCTATTAGATAAAAGCACCAAAAAAGACCCACTAAAGCACCCAGTCTACACAGACATTGGGAAAGTGGGGTGCAACTAATGCACTGCCTCTACTGGACATGCGCTGGCTTGGCGCAGGAGTGTGCTGAGTTTAAAGTAAAGCACCGTTTTTCTTTTTCCATGTCTGCAAGCAGCCATAATGTTCACTTTGTTCTGGCTTGAGAATTTTTCCCCACTGTGAGAAGGAGCCCGATTCACCACTGCTAGACTGGGTCTCAGGATGATGTCACTCATGCTGGCAAAAAAGTGGAATAGCAGAGTAGTGAATCAAGTCTATTTTTTCCAATGATGAAAACTCTCGTCAGGGGCGTATCTCCAGTTTTCCACATTTTGGAAGGCAGAGCAGTTTTTGGAGGAAATAAATATATGTTGTATATTATATTATATATATTATGTATTATAAATATATCTATAATTATCTTGTAATATGTGTGTGTGTGTATATATATAAACTTATACACATACACACACGTATGCATATCTCTGTATGTATGTGTGTGCGTGTGTGTACATACACACATACACACGGTTCTTAGCATGCAGAGTTCTTTATGCTAGCCAAATAATTAACATCTATGAACCAGTCAAAAGATACATACTTATTTTGCTCCGGGAACATTTTTCTGCAGTGCCTCCTTTTGGCCTCCCCTGATCCCAGAGGTGCTATGTTACCATTTCATAACTAGGGACCTACCTAAGTCACGGTGAGAGAAAGCAATTTTTGTGGCTTGGCCTGAAGAGCCAATTTCGCAGTTGTTTTGTGGTGGCCCCGCCCCTTGGTGCTGATTGGTGGAGAGGCCCCAGGGGGAGGAGGAACAAGAAGAGAGCTGCCATCTTGACTGCTGGCTGCCCTTCATGTGGCCCCGCTCCTTGACACTGATTGGCAGAGGCACAAAGAGGCATCTGCCATCATGGTTGTTGCCCTTTGTGCCACTCCGCCAGCTGATGCCTAACCCTCCTGGGCAGGCGAGGCCCGGCTGCAGTACCACCAAGGACCGCTGGCTCCCACTGGGGAGACAGCATTCTCTTTTTATTAAGGTTTTTTTTTTTTAGTTGACTTCCTGGGAAATCACAGCCAGTGCCATTTTTCACAGCAACTGTGGAAATTATAGTTTTTTGTGCTTTCCATGAAAATTGCAAAACCGTGATTTAAGTAGGTCCCTATTCATAATCAGTAGAGGAGTTGGAGCCCTTTTGGGTACAAATTGAGCGAGGTAAGGTTGTGACTCTGGACAGATACAGAGGAGAAGCTACAGCATTACTGAAGCTTAGTCTGACAGGTCTGAAGGAGAAAGGATGCCAAAGACTGTGCCAGATGTTTAAGAATTATATTGGGATAACAAATAGACAAAATGTTTCAGCGAGGTTTTACAACCCGCAGTCAGAGGTGTAGGTAAGCCAGGTTAAATTCCCTTTTAAAATCCATGCCAAAGAAAGGTGCTACCTCAGACGCCCATCAGGTTTCACGGGGCCGAGCTCGGACTTGGGGTCTGGGCTAAGTGAGCTCCATGCTGTCTGACTGCAAGCCTGCATAACAGGACAGGAAGTTGGGCCTGTGCTACAAATATCCACTGCTGACCACATGCTGCTGGCCAAGGTGTCAACCCAGTTCTCCAGCTTGGTGCCTAACAGTGCTGCGTTCTTTTTGGCCTGGTCCACTTGACCTGCACTGATAGGGATATTTAAAACCGGATTCAAGCCTTGGAAACTCTGTTCCATATATGCGTTCTTAGGAGGTCCACCGTGCAACTTCATGGTTTCCTCTGAAAATGCAAAAATAAAAGCCCAAATCAATACACAATAAATATCACTTTCAAGGTTACAGTTCACTAAAATGCAAAGCTTCCTGTTCCCATAAGGCTGCAAACCTATGTAACCTGCTACACATGGGTTTTCCGATCTCACATGCTCCAGGATTTCCCAGCCCTCAGAATAAGAGCCTTACTATTTATTGCCACTGCACCTTGAATCCCTAGCCATGGAGCAAAGCTTCATTCCTTTAGGCATGGTACAAACAAAGAACAACAAAGTGACCTCTGCCCTAAAGAGTTTACAATCCAAACACTGGCCCTGATACCAGGACTCCCTGGGGAACCAACTAAAATGGAGTCCCGACTTGAAAGCTCAAAGATTCTTTATTTTTTCCATCATTCCTAACTGGGTTATAAATTTGGCAAATTTGATTTTCTTGTTCCATCAGCAAATATAGATGTGGCTGTCTGAGTTAACAGTGAAGACATGTGGAACAAGAAAATGAATAGGAGGCACAGAAAAGAACTGTCATCCTCATACTGGGGATTAAGTGACAAGGGAAAAGGGAACAATTTGAAAAGGGAAAACAATGGAATAATATTTGGTACAAAAATGCTGCCATATGTTCCCAGACCTTCATGTGCTATCTTTTATTTCTTTTGGGGAACATGCTGAGATTTGGGCCTCTTTTTTCCTTTGAACAGATTCACCCCTCCCTATGGCTCTGGATAAGCCACATATGTATATTGGCTCAGTTGTGGCTCAAACACTGGGTGGTATCGTTCCAAAAGGCTGGGAGGATCACATCACTAGGTTGGACAGTGCAGGCTGAGTTGATGTAATATGTGACCCCAATGTGGTTTCTGGAAGCACTTCAGGTCAGCCCATTTTTATTGGAAACATACTTTTTAACTGTAATCACAGTTCAACTTCTGGTGTGAGTAATGCATTGAAAACATTTTCTAATGACACTTTTCTGTGCATTGTGGTTCTTTTCTTACAGGAATTCTTCTACCTTGCCAAAACATGGCACATTGCCCAAAACTTTAATATTCCAGGAAATATCACTGGTCATATTGATTTTAAGGTACTGAGGCCAAATACAATGGATCATATTCTTATAGCCTGTTCTCATTAAGCAGCACTAGTTACTGCACAAATTATAGCAGAGAATTCAGAGAGAAAGTTTGGAGACCGAGGTGCTACTCCTTGGATAAGAGTCCAGCCCTATGAAAACATTCACAGTGCACCTTTTGCTAAAATGTAAATCCTATGGATGAGGATTCTCAGTTTATACAGATATCTCTTTCTCCTCAGTTCACTTCTTGTAACATCAGCACTCAACTCAGTACAGAGGACGTGCATAACTTGCCAAGATACACAAAGTCTAGAACATAAAATGGGCTCATTCAAGACCCTCCAGGGTAGGAAAGCCACACTGTGTTCAGATATCATTTACAGGCCAGGAATTACATATTTGTGTCTACAATTCCTGCCACATGTTCATGGGGTTTGCAGTACAGACTGACACAGAGCCCTGTCTTCCATGCAAAAGCCAGTTTTCAGGTGCTGGCAATAAATCTATATATTTACTTTAGAAAAAAAAAAGGACATTTACTTAGAACTTTGCTTTGCATTTTTCAAGTCCTTTATATAACCATGTCAAATGCTGCGCAAGTCTAAATCTCTGATTAAATTAAATCTAAGGAGATCTCCCCTCTCCCCCCCCACTCCCGCACCCATTATGACACACAACTCAAAGATCCTCTATTCATTTGAAAACGTGGTTTTATCTACACTTCTGGATAATCCAAAATCTTTTAGACAAAATGGGCTTGTGCCAGGGATGTGTGTCAGATGTGCTGCCAGAGGACTGTACTTCAAGAATAAAACAAGTACACATGATTAAATTTCCTGTTTTGGAAGCAATTAAATAAGCAAGATTGTTTGTAAACATATTAATTAAAAGGAAATTTTCTAAGTAAGAAACAAAACAAATAGAGTTGGCATTTCTAGCAGGATCATCTGATTGAAACAGGCAATTTCAAGAATTCATATAATTAGAGGCTGCTGTGTATACTGCTTACTAGAGAGAATGAGAGTCATTCTCAAGAATGATGATGGGGTGGAACAGTGCCTACCTCCTTATCACCTTGAGCAATGATTCATGCCAGACCTCCCAGCCTAAAGAGGAATGAATTTGAAGGAATAAGGGGTACAGCGAAACCCTGAGAAACAGTGAATGTGATTCAGTAGGTGGCATCTTTCCTCTTGAATCTGTCTGCTAATAATATGTGCGGGCTTTACACTGACATGAAACTGAGAGACTGAACTCTTGACATTAAGCTTCTTTACTGCTTTTTGCTGGAATAAGGGTGTTAATTTTCATGACCCTTGACAAATTCAAACTTGAGCAATTACATTCAGACTTCGTAACTACTCCAGGGAGTCGTACATGATACTCAGCACCAGCACCAAATGGCTGTGTTGTGCTGCTCTGCCCTGGTGAGTGATTGCTGTGCTCAGCCTCAGACTCGGTTGCATTTCAAAGGTAGGCAGTAAAATGCTAACATATTTAATTTGTAAGCGATTATGCAGTACTTTAAGAATCTCTTGTGTGAAAGGCATTACACAAATATTATTGGTGGTATGATGGTTACACGTGAGGAAAACTTCGCCCCATGGAATACCCTGCTTAAAAATACAGAGCACTAATATTTTCAGTTTGATGAATACCATGTTGTAGTACAAAGTGAAAATTAATTGTGTAATTAATACTCCTGCAAATTTGTTCTTGTACTTTTCATCCACTGATCTCAGATTCAAATGAAGAAACTGAAGTACAGAGAGGCAAAGGTCTAGATCCTGAAAGGGACTCAGGTGCCTCCTTCCTCTAGTTCAGGGGTGGGCGATTATTTCGGGCAGAGGGCCGCTTGATGAGTTTTGGTGAGCTTTCAAGGGCCGCATGGGTAGCCCCGCCCCTTCAGTTGCTCCACCCCCTGGTCGCCATCTTGGGACCAGACGTCCCGCCCCCTGAGCCCTGACCTTTGCCACCAGAAGCCCCATCCCCTGAGCCCTGACCTTTGCCACCGGAAGTCCCTCTCCTTGCACAACTTACCAGGTAGCAAGGGGTTGTGACCTCTCTAACATCCTGCCCCAGCAGTGGGGTTTCAGGGGCATCAGACCTCCCCCAGAACTTTCCCCCTACCTGTGCCAGCTGGTCACAAAAGGAGGACGCTCCGCCACCGATTCTGCTGGCCAGTGCCATCCAGTCGGGCTTGCCCCATCCCCAGCAACACCTGGGAAACCAGCTTCAGCCGCATGCTGCTCCAGATGGGATGGACCCGGCCATGTCTGCACCAGCCAGGAAAGGCGGCATGCAGCTGAAGTTGGCTCCTCATGTGCTGCTGGGGACAAGAGGAGCCCGGCCGGGTCTGCACCAGGCAGCAGAAGCGGTGGCAGAGCCGTGTGCCACTCGGGACTGACTGGTGCACAGCAGAAGCGGTCACCCCATCTGGTGCAGGCTCGTCCCATCCCAAGTGGCACACGGCTCCACCTCTGCTTCTGCTGGCCGGTGCAGACCCGGCTGGGCTTGCTCCATCCCCAGCAGCATGTCAGGAGCTGACTTCAGCTGCATGCCTCACAACCAGAACCCAAGGAAACAGCCTGAGGTACTGCGGCTGGGTCCGCCAGAGGCTTTTAGAGAGGCAGCTGCCATTACGTGGGGTTTGGAGGGGCTCCGCGGGCAGAAGGGAAGTGCTTGGTGGGCCAGATGCAGCCCGTGGGCCGTATTTTGCCCACCCCTGCTCTAGTTTCAGGAATGCAAGTTTTAGCTGTGTTGCTCTACAAGGAAAACATGTGCAGAACTCTTGGAAGAGGTGATATCATTTATTAGACCATAACCCTGAGGTAGGTGCCTGGGCTTTCTATACAGGACATGGGGAAAGACAGCACCTTCAGAATAGGATCCACAGAAAGAAACAACATGCTAAGCCTAGGTGTCTGTCTAATCTTTTCTTGAACACCTCCAAGGTAGGGGAAAGTGCCACCTCCCTTGGAAGCCCATTCCATATTTTGGCAACCCTCACTGTAAATAATTTCTTTCTGATATCCAATCTAAATCTACTCTCCTTTAATTTGTGGCCATTATTTCTAATAACCCCGAGGGGTGTCCTGGTAAACTGAGTATCCCCTAACCCCCATGATGAGTTTGTAGACATCCACAAGATCATCTCTCAGCCTTCTCTTGTGGAGGCTGAAGAGATTCAGGTCCCTCAGTCTGTCTTCATAGGATCTTACCCGCAGGCCCTCAACCATACGAGTGACCCTTCTCTGAACCCTCTCAATGCAGTCCACATCCATCTTGAAGTGCAGCGCCCAAAACTGGACACAGTACTCCAACTGCAGCCTGACCAATGCTGCATAGAGGGGAATTATCACCTCCCTAGACCTGCTCAGGATGCACCTACTAATGCAAGAAAGGGTGCGGTTAGCCTTACTTATTACATGCATATTATACTATTACATGCATATTATATATGCATGTATACATTTATTCACGTGTGTGCATGTAATCAGTTCTTAGTTTCCTATAAAATGAGTATTTAAAGCATTCTGGTCTTTCACTCCTCTCTTGGGGAAAAAAGCAAAGGAGTGCAAGCTATACTTCTGTTAGAACACTATACTATTCTCCCATACAATCCAGAATTAAGTGTTCTGCAGTCACTAAGGCAAATTCTTTGCTGGCCAATATACCCACAAAACCCAGAGCCAGCCTTAGTGGTGGGTGACTGCCCAGGACACCATGGTCAGGGGGACACCACACACACATCAAGCAGCCTGTGTGAGCAGCCCTCCCTTCATTCCACCCTGCCCTAGGCAGGAGGAGTGGTGCCCAGCGCAGCCTACCCCACACCTCAAGCCATTGCTTTGAAGAAGCCAGGCTGGTCAGCATGTGTGGCAGCAGCAGTGCCTGTCCACCCACCTGCCTGGCGCACCAAGCCGCTCTGCC